CAAGTCCTTGTCCCACTAGCCCTAGCATCCCTCTCATAACTAGTTCCATTTCACATTTTGTCGTGAACAAAAATAGACCCCGTACAATCCCTGCTTCATGCCAAACTGAGCAACCTCAGTGTGAATGTGTGAGCACGAAAAGCTGCTCAGTTACCTGCACAAAAACCATAACTTCTCTCTTTGCATATCCCCATTTGTCAGTAATTTGTTCGGATTCATTTTCTCTTTCAGTGAGAGTGCCGTATCACAGCAGATAACACTTGCAATCTCACTAAAGAAAACATATGCTGATAACCAAAAAGAGAGAACAAAGAAAATAGAGAAAAACAAAATCTTCTTGTCGATCTTGAAACTGATTTATCAATAAAAGATACAAAATCTTGCAATATTGTCCTTGTCTAGCTACCTCCGGCCCCAATTCAATCCTTCCTCCAGATTGTGCAGAGACATGTCACTAACATCATCAACTCCATCCTGTCCTTGGCTGCAGCTCGCATTACCATTTGGAAATCCATGTCCAACTGGTGCACTTAAGCAGGAGAAATTAGTATCATGTGGTGCTGAAGAATAATAGCCAGACTTGGAGTGTGAATACTGCGAGTTTCTGGGCCTCTGGCCAGAAACAAAGTAGTCATTCACCAATTGTCCGGGACATTGCGCGGGGAAGGAGCCTATCTGCGAAGAAGAAGTGTACAAGTAAGGCTGGGGTGGAGGCAGCGGGAGTCCGGGTGGTGGAGTTGGTGGCGGTGGTGGCAGTCCTTGTGTAGGCAGTGGAAAAAGGGGTGAAGATCCAGAAAACATTCTTGTTGGGTAGATTGATCTGAATGGCATTGTTGGATCAACCATAATGTTTCCATGTGGAATTGGTTGGCCACTACAAATAGTACAAGCCAGTCATGAACAGAAAAACGTACTATCGAAAAATCGATAATCTTTTTTCAAATGGAAAGAACTGAATTAGGGAACAGCATATACCTGGAAACATACCCTAGGTGATGAGCTCCTGGTGATAAATCACTAGTGAAGACCAAATGACGAGCCTTGTTCAGTGTTTCTGTCTCCCTCTCTGAGGAACATACACTGAGTTATGGATTAATCTAATCAAATCAAATCATGCTACCAAGAATTTCAACAAAAAAGATAG